TTGACACTTATGGAATTAGAAAAGCCAATTTTTTTTTTTTCTATTTATTTTATAGAGATGAGATCTCACTATCTTGCCCAGGCTAGTCTCAAACCCCTGGGCTCAAGAGATCCTCCTGCCCCAGCCTTCGGCATAGCTGGTATTCCAGGTGTGTGCCACCTCTCCCAGCTTCCAGGTTATTTTTATGCATACTCACATTTGAAAACAAATTGGTGTACCAGTATAATCAAAATGGGTGGTTCAGCCTCAAATCACAGCTCCTGAGGATGCTTCTCAGCCTCAGTTTCCTCATCTGTAAAATGGGCATTTAGACCTTGCCGTGGCTCCTTCCAGGGTTGCCAGTAGACTGAAAAGCATAAGGGATTGGAAAGTATTTTACAAACTATGAGGTGGTTTAGGAAATCGGGAGTTGTTTTCCCCCTCCAGTGAGTAGTTTCTGAAATTACTCATTGCAAATCCTAGCGTGTACCATAACCAGAAGGACCACAGAAACCACATAAGCCTCTTGCTGTACAGATGGGAAAACTGAGGTCTTTACAAGAGAAGGTACCTGTGAAGCTGATCAGTGACCAAATTCAGCCTTAACTGCATTCCCAGCCCTGAGATCCGCCTGTCCCCCTTCTCCCTCCCCTCTTCATAAAGAAGCTGAGGGGTAGGTCCCATTCTAAACAACCAAGACAGGCACTGGCAGAGGATGAGAGAAACCAGCACATTCCCATTCCAGATGGAACGTCCTTTCCCCAGGGTCCCAGTAACACTAACATTCATTTGTGTAAAGCCCTCTCAAACCCAAGTCATTCAATAAACACTTTTTGGCACCTGTTATATAACAAGCATTGCACTGGTATAACTGTGGTGGCTGGAAAAGAAAGGTGTCTATTATTATTGCTCCATTTTATAATGAGGAAATTGAGGCCTGAAGAGCCTGAGTTTACCAAGTAGATGAAAACGTTATTTTTTAGGCTTGGTGAGGCTGAGGCTGGGAGTTTTCCAAAGCCCTCCCCTCCCAAAAGTATTCAAGTACACATCCAGGTAGAAGCAGGTGCCCTCCTTCCCACAATCCCGCAGGTCCCCCTGCAGCAGAAAGGAGTGAAGACCAGCATTCCCAGCATGAAACTGAGGAAGAGATAAGGGCCTTCTGTATCTATTAATACCTACTTGAAAGCAAAACAGCCTGATAGATGAGGCCCCTTGGCCCTCATCCTGGCAGCTTGCGATAAGGCTGTTCTCAATGCCAACAGTTCTCAGGCTGGTAGGCTTCCAAAAAATCCACAGTCACTGGGCAGCCACTTCCATTGATGATCTCCTCTCAACCCCATAATCCCATAAGTAAGCTTGTTTATCCACATGGTGCAGAAAGGAGGAGGCTCAGAGAGGGGCACTCATAGCCCAAGGTCACACAACAGAACTGAGGTGCGAACTTCAACTGTCCCACAGCAAAACCCAGGGCCTCCCCTTGCCACCCTCTGTAAATATCCCAAAAGCCAGGCTCAGAGCTGTCAAGATTATAACGTGTAGTTTCCAAAGGCTATGATGGTGGATAGTGGCTTGGTTCCTAGGTGCTTATCATTGTCACCACCTCCACCAACCAAACTAGAGGCATTCAAGGGGATGCAATGTCCTGGGTCCACAATCCTGTGCCTGGAGACATCTTTCCCTTGGTTCTTTCCAAGAGGAACAGTGGTGTAGAGGTGATAACATGGGCTTCTAAATCAGGTGGATGTAATCAAAAATCTTGGTCAACATGACCTTGGACAAGTCAATTCACTTCATTCAATCCACAGATATTTACAGAGGAACTATCATGTGTCAGACATTGTGCTATGTGCTCAGGTGACAGCTATAAGCAAAACAGACCCCTGGAGCTCACAGTCCAGTGGGAAAGTTAGGAATTATTTCTATGACCCTACACAATATGCTTGTTAAGAAGTTTGACAAGTGACACAAAGAATTTAAACCTATTTATTCCAGCAATAGCACCTCCCCCAGCATACATTCTTAGCTTACCAAAAAAAAAAAAAAAAAAGTCTACAAACATGAATATCCAATCATGATAATTGGGAGAAATGATTCTGTGATGACTTAATGTTATAAAGGGGCACAGAGATGTCCATTGTTGAATTCTGGCAGAGGAAGGTGGGGAGTTTTGCATCTGTAACGATCCCTCATAGCTACCGTGACTGACAGTTTACTGTCCCTGGAGATGTTCTGTCACTGTGCCAGTTCTGGCTGTGTCTGAACAGACCTCTGGCCCATCCAAAAGGCAGTCTAACATAGAAGCAAGCCTTTGGAGTCGGGTGGTCCCCAACCCTATGGCTTCCCACCCGTGTGATCTTTGGGAATTGATTCACCCTCTTGAAGAGCTTTGTTTGTTTCATCTGCAGATCAACGAGTAACAGCTTCCTTACAGGATGTATGTCAAAGTTTAAGAAAACAAAACAAGCAGAGTTTGCAAACTGGCCCCCAGATTTAACTCAATTTCTCCATAGAAGATCTTTCTTTCCTTTTTTTTTTTTTTTTTTTTTTTTTTTT